GATAGATAGATAGATAGATAGATAGACAAATAGATGACAGACAGACAGACAGATAGATAGATAGATAGATAGACAGATAGACAGATAGATAGATAGAAAGATAGATAGATAGTGATGTGTGAAATTATGATGAATATAATCCCAATGCAAAAGTCACAGTGCAAATGAATTCTAATGAAAATGGTGTTGATTTTGGGGTGAAATATGATCTTGACAGGTTTGGTGAGAGCATCTCTCTCTCTCTCTCTCTCTCTGTCTGTGTGTGGATTGCATGCTGGGAGCGGAAGTGTGGTGTGGGGTGTGAGAGCGGCACGCTTGAATTGGTTTTCAAGGTTAAATTCTTTTTTTCTATTTATGTTTTTTTTTAGGGGGGAATTTAATTTATCACGTTTTGGTTTATTTTTTTAGTTTAAGAAAAACACCGGTGTGAATCCTTCCTTGATAAGGGAAGCCATGGCGTCTCTCTCAGGTGAGGGAACGCCGGGGTTCTCTATCAGGAATGGATGTAAAGTTTTCTCGGATCAAGCGGTTAGAATGGGGTTCTAAGAAAAATGAATTTGATAATTTGATACAGTGGTGGTAAATAGGAAAGACACAAATCAAAATTTTTTGTCAGCAGTATACATGTTTTTCACCAAAAAAAAATTAAACAAAAAATTTCTGAAATAGAACATGAGATCTTTCACATTACATCTGGTATGATTCAGCATTCTAATTCATCTTCAGCTGGCATTTTATGTGAAAAGAAACAAGATCTGGAATCTTTGTTGCAAGTGCAGGCTAAAGGTGCCCTGATAAGATCCCGTTTTATGTCTGTACGTGAGATGGATGCTCCCACATCTTATTTTTTTAATTTAGAAAAAGTGTCAAGACAACAAAATGAAATGTATTGTTTGACAACACCTGGATGGACTAAAGACTTCTGATTCAAGGCAAATGAGAAAGATTGCAGTGGACTTTTATTCAGACTTGTATAGCAAAGAAGAAACTGATACTGAATGCGTTTCACAGCTATTGCAACAACTGCCTACTCTTACTAAAATGCAGAGTAAGAATCTGGACAGCTCTGTTTTGTTTGAGGAGTTAACTGATGCCGTTAAACAGATGAAGCCGGGCAGAGCACCTGGAATTGATGGACTATCAGCGGATTTTTATAAAGCTGTGTGGAATTACATTGGAAAAGACTTTCATGATGTGATCCAAGAATGTTTTCAAGAAAAGCGCCTTCCCACAAGCTGCCAAAGGGCAGTATTAACACTATTACCAAAAAAGGGTGACTTGAGTGTTCTTAAAAACTGGAGGCCTGTGTCACTTTTAACAACTGATTATAAGCTAATAGCCAGGAGTTAAACTGATGCCGTTAAACAGATGAAGCCGGGCAGAGCACCTGGAATTGATGGACTATCAGCAGATTTTTATAAAAGCTGTGTGGTATAAAGCTGTGTGGAAGTACATTGCAAAAGACTTTCATGATGTGATCCAAGAATGTTTTAAAGAAAAGTGCCTTCCCACAAGCTGCCAAAGGGCAGTATTAACACTATTACCAAAGAAGGGTGACTTGAGTGTTCTTAAAAACTGGAGGCCTGTGTCACTTTTAACAACTGATTATAAGCTAATAGCCTTTAAAAGTTTTGGCAAATAGGCTGAAAACTGTACTGGGAGATTTAATATGTCAAGATCAATCCTACTGCATTCCAGAAAGAACAATTTATGATAACATTTTCATGATCAGAGACATTTTAGATTACGCCAAACTATATGAAGTGAATGTTGGCTTTTTGCTCCTGGATCAGGAAAAAGCTTTTGACAGAGTCGACCATGGGTTTCTGTTTGAAACAATGAGTGCTTTTGGGTTTGGAGATGTTTTTATTTCGTGGATCAAACTTTTATACATGAATGCCTCTTGTATTTTAAAAATAGGTGATGGGTTGAGTAAACCAATAAGATTACTCAAAGGTATAAGACAAGGATGCCCACTGTCTGGACAGTTATATGCTTTAGCAGTGGAGCCACTCCTGTCTCTATTAAGAAAAGATCTGTCTGGTTTAAAGGTTGATGGGAACTGCAATGCGTTTAAGTTAACAGCATATGCAGATGATATTACTGTAATTGTGAAAGATCAAAGAGATATTGATATTGTTAATTACAGTATCTCTTTATATGAGAAAGCATCGTCTGCAAAATTGAACTGGAGTAAAACAGAAGCATTTTGGTGTAATGATAAAAGAGCAATGTCTTTACCTGTTATTCCTGGAAATGTAAAGTGGGGAAAAGATGGTTTTAAGTTTTTGGGCATCTTTTTAGGTTCAGAAGTGTATCAAAGGAAAAACTTGGAAGGTGTAAAAGATAAAATTTGTAATAGATTATCAAAATGGAACTGGATTTTACCTCAACTATCTTATAGAGGAAGAGTGTTGGTTATAAATAATCTTGCCGCCTCTGTCCTATGGCATAAACTAATTGTGTTGAACCCACCAGATGAATTCTTTAGGGAAATTCAAAAAGTGTTTGTTAATTTTTTTTGGAATGGACAACATTGGCTAAGAGAGTCAGTATTGTATCTGCAGTTAAGTGAAGGAGGCCAAGGTCTTATGGACATTAAGTCCAAAGTAGCTGCATTTAGACTGCAGACTGCACAAAGACTCCTCTATCACCAGTCTCAGAACTGGACAGAAATAGCTTGTGTTTTATTAAATAGAGTGGGGCGGATGAACTTGGATAGACACCTCTTTTTAATGAATTTGAAGGAAGTGGATTTTAATGGACTCCCTTCTTTTTACGCATTAGTATTAAATGCATGGCAAATATTTACTGTTAAAAGACAGCAGTCTGAGATAACCCATGAGTGGGTTCTTGAAGAACCTTTAATTTGTAATCCTCTTTTATCTAGTGTGATTTTAAAATCTAAGGGTGTCTGCACAAGCCTGGTTAGAGCAGGAATATGCAAAATCTGTCATCTTAGGTCAAGGGATCAATGGATTTCTGCAGAAAATCTGGCCATGAAGATTGGTATCCATTCTGGTGTGTTTAATGGTGTATGTTTTTTGTGTTAATGGATTGTAATTAAAGAGATGTTGAAAGGTCTCTCTCTCTCTCTCTCTGTCTGTGTGTGGTAGAGCTGAATGAGCTGATGGATCTGCAGAGCGGCGTGCCTCCAGACGGTGGTGTTTGTGATGCTGAAGCGCTGGAGGACGGCGGCGGCGCTCGGCTCACTCCCGACCCCTCAGAGCTGGACATGGACGACTGTGACTCTCTGATCTCTGAGCGGACGCTCTCGGTCTGCAGCGACCCTCAGCGGGCCCCGCGTGGCTCCTCCTGGGCCCTGGCTCTGTACGGAGACGACTGCTTCAGTCCGGATGTGCTGGAGTACACACAGAAACTCAGCAGTCACAGCGAATCTCCCACGCTGGAGGACAAATCACAGGTGGGTTTATTCATGTTGCGTATGGATTCATTTTGAACACAACGCTTCAAATCTTTACATGTATGGGTCATATTTTACCCCAAAATATAAAGAAAAAACATAAGAAAGCATATCTTTCATAAAACGAAGCATGCTCTTTGAACCATTGAGATTATGGGGTTTTTATAGCAATTTAACACATTTTCACCACAATTCTCAGTTTTGTGTTTTGTTTCTTTGTAATTATTTTTATTCTCAGTGGTGATTCTGTTTTATTCCCGTGGTATATTTTACTGTTACAATTATATTTTTTTAACGATTAGCAAAATATTAAAAGCAGTACAATGACGCATAAATAAAATATAAATGCTTTACCATTTACATAATAAATCAGTTATCAGTTATTTTAATTCCATTGAGATACTATTGTAGTTTTTGTTAATATTTTAAATTAGATTTTATTTTTATATTTTCACTTTAATGTTCGTTCAAATTTTATTTGTTGTGTTTTGTTTTTTTTTTTTCTTTTTTTTTCATTAATGTCTATATATTTTTTATCAAATTGTATTTATTAGTTATAGTTTATTTAGTTTTAGTTATTTTAGTACAGCAAGTTAAACTAAACGGAAATGAGAAATGCTGCCTTGGCAACTAGCTGAAATAAAATAAGTTTATGTTTTTTAATGTTTTATTTTATTTTATTATGTTTGGGGATGAAATTGTCACATGAAAATGTATGAAAATAATTGCATGAAAAAAATGACACAATGCAAAACATTTTAATTATCAAAAAATAAATGTTAATTTTCTTTATGCAATATAATTTCCTATTTATTTCTTTAGATTTTGGGCTGAATTTTTTTTTTTCTCCCGTTTTGACGTGTCTTTGCTCTTTGTCTGATCTGTTATTCTCCTAATGCTGATTTCCGGTGTTTATTTAATGCTAACTGTACTGAAAGGACCCACATTTCATGCAGCCAGAATTTCTCCAGGTACAGTATCCTAAACAACCTTCATTTTCATTGGAAGAGCTTTAGTGGATGAAGAGCTTCCATCATTCATGTTTTGAATGAGCCACATGCATCAAACATTCAGAACCAGGAACAGAATATGGACAATGTGCATTTTGATTGGGTTCAAGTATAGTATTGGATATTTACGTGATATTATCTAATATTTATAGCAGAATATGAGTGCTCAGTGTGTGCTTTGATGGCGTTTGAGGGCTGTTTTTATGAGCGGGGGTCAGACGCGGGAGCTCTACAGGAGGAACAGAGCTGCAGTCGGACTTCAAAGCGCTGACCATTGATCTCTGTTACCATAGAGAGAAATACAGAGAGTTCAGATCGCAGAGTCTTCATCCTGATCATATGCACTACTCTTTAAAAGTTTGGGGTCAGTAAGATGCTATATTCTGCAAGGAAGCATTAAAGTGATCAAAAGTGACAGTAAAGACAGTTATAATGTTATAAAACATTTCTATTTCAAATAAATGCATTTCTGTTCATCAAAGAATCCTGAAAAATAAAATGCATCACGGTTTCCACAAAAATATTGTGCAGCACGACTGTTTTCAACATTGATAATAATCAGAAATGTTTCTTGAGCAGCAAATCAGCATATTAGAATGATTTCTGAAGATCATGTGACACTGAAGACTGGAGTAATGATGCTGAAGATCACAGAAATAAATTACATTTTAACAGATATTCACAGAGAAAAAATATATTTTAAATTGCAATAATATTTCACAATTTTTACTGCATTTTTGATCAAATAAATGCAGCCTTGATGTGCAAAAGAGACTTATTTACATTAAAAAAATATTATCGACCCCAAGTTTTTTAAAGGCAATTTACACACCAAACATCTTCATCCTCTTCATCACATTGAGTCCAATCACACAAAGCCATTCAGTTTATCCTCGACACAAATCAAGATCATTCTGGTTCTGAAAAGCCCATCTTGCTGGATAATGCAGCTAAAACCAGCTTCTGATAGATGGTAGTTTTACATGGTTTCTTCAAGCCGTCATTTATCCAGGGTTATTCTAGTTAATCCAGGGTTATTTTAGTTAACTAAAACTGAAACTGAAAAAAAAGTTTAAAAAATTAAATAAAAATTATATATATATATTTTTTTTTTTTATTTTTTTAT